GTTATCACGGGAAGAGCTCCTCTCAGAATAAACCAAAATGGTTGTAGCAGGAATCTCCACTTGGAAATGAATTTTTGTTTTTAATTTTTTTGTATGTCGGTGACATAATGACACGTTGCAATTCAAGGCTAAAGGTGAAATATTGTACGCTCTTAAGAAATTCTCATTGCTTAAAGAAATTTGAAGTTTGTGTCTTGGTGAAACCAAAGGACAGTGGACCTGCTCCAATCCATCATTAGATCAAGTAGCCTGAGACAATTGATGATCAAATTCACATTCAGATTTCTCCCTGTCATTTCAGGTGTTACACTTTCCAGGGATAAAAATGGTCGATGTGAATGGAGGCATAGAGGATGCATGCTGGAGAAGCAGTGTTTAAATTTGTTCTATTAACATTTGATTGTCAATTAGCTGCACTTGTGCAGAATGCTCATGTTTCTGATTATTTGAAAAGTGAGTTCTCCCCAGTAGCCTGGTCAATATTTAACCCTCAATCAACTGTTGAAAGAGCAGATCTCCTCATTTGTTTTGTTGCTGTTTGGGGGAGCTTACTGTGTATATTTCTCGCATACTTCCTGTGTTACTGCAGTGACTGTTAAAAGAACTTGTTCACTGTAAAGCCCTTCTTTGCTGTAAAACACTATCTTGAGATGGCATATGGGACTATGTAACTGGATTATCTCTTTCTGTACAACCAGGAAAATGAGAATTCCTTTGATTGTTTTAAATGTGCTGTGCATTTTACATAAATGTGAACCATGGAGTGGTTACAGCACAGACGATGGTAATTTGACCCGTTGTAGAAATGACATTTCTTTGCAAGAGCAATTTGGTTAGTTTTGTTCCTGAACTCTTTCCCTGTAATCTCTCTCCCTCTCTCTCTCTCTCTCCCTCTCACATTAGCATTTGCAATTATCTGGTCTTCTAAAGGCAGTCCTTGAAGAAAGGTCAACTGACCCGAAATGTTAACTCTGATTTCCCTTCACAGATTCTGCCAGACCTACTGAGCTTTTCTGGCAACTTCTATTTTTGTTTCTTTATTTAAAGAGGATTGGAAGATTATGGCCAGTGTCTCCCTTTTCCCTCCTTTACCTTATTCAGTATCTCATTTGATCTTAGTAATGTAAACTACAACTACAGGGAGCCTTTTAAATGCTCCTTTAACAATTTAAATCCATCCAGTTAGTCAGGAATTGATGTTTGGGCCAGAGATGATAGCTGAGACATAATACCAAGCTGAGATGAAGAATAAAATGCTCTGGGCAGGTTAATGATAAACTGACTGAGGCCAGGCCTTAAAAGTTGGGGAAGAAAGACAGGTTGTGTAATAATCCATAATACAGATGGGCAGCTTCATTACCTGAAATCTTCCGGAAACTGCAATTGGAAGTGGGGTTGTAGGGGGAAAATTGAACCTGAAAAATGATCAGGATGGGTAGATGGAGAGAATAGTCCAACTGGAAGACTCTAGGATAATTACTTAGAGGTGAAATTTTACAAGATTAGTCTAAATGTATGGGTTGTTGTTTGCTGTTTATTACTTTCCTTTACAAACATGGCTGACAGGAGATTCTGCATCTTGGGCTGTTGTGGGGAAATACCAAGAGAATAGTGCCCGAGTTAATGCTAAGTATTCAACACTTTAGGCTCAATTTAAAAGTGGCTGAATCATAGAATCATAGGGACAGCATCAGTCTTCCATTTGTTGGCCTAAAGGGCTGAAGACATTTCAAATCTTAGGCCTCATAAGGACACTAAACCTGAAAGGGAGGAAGAACTTGAGTTTCAGCGGAGAGAGTAGAGAACCCAGAGCTATCCTTCTTAGGCTAGGCAAGATCACACACAAAATTTTAGTTGAAATATTCAAAATGGTGAAATTTTGGATGTGTAATATAAGGAAGAACTGTTTCCACTAGCGTGAGGCTCTGTAACCAGAACCAGAATTTAATATAGTTAGCAAAAGAACTAGAGACACAGATGGCAAGTGGGGTAGTGGGGAGAGAGGTTTAGTTGGCTGCAAGAACAATGGTTGAGTCTCAGCTGCCACCCCCAACACGCCAATGCCCAGCACTTTGATCAGGCATTGGATGTCTATGAACAAGTGACGTCCACTCTAAGAATCTGCAAGCAACCCTGCACAGATTTGCTTTCTAAATAGCAAACCCCACCCTGGTCTGTTACTGGGATATCACTATTAGTGTGTCCTCTCACTTCAGGACTTCAGTTGGCAGCAATGTGGGAAGGCCAGCCATGGGCCTTGCTGCCACAGATTATTCAGAGTGCAGGCAAGAAAGTGATACAGTTTCCACTTGTCATTAGATGCACCTTTGCCACAGAACTCGCCACACAAGGCACTAAATTTTGCTCAATAAATCCACAGCACAGAAACTGATCATCTGCTTCAAACAGTCTGTTGGGGGTTTATATTACAAACCCACTTTCATTGTGTCCCTTTACTAGCTTTCTTTTAGTAGAATGTCCATTTTAAGCATTAACCGTTTGTATCTGTGTTTTGTCAAAGGCAGTGTGTTCTGTGAAAAAGCTTGCAGTTTGGTTTTGATTAGTAAAAGCCACTTCCTGCTGTACAAAATGAGCTCACCTCATTCTTGCACTTTATTGATGGTTTGCTCCTGTTCATTTCGGGTTGTACTGATAACTGCAGTGCAGTTTTGAAGTTACAAAAGTTGATGCCTGATTTTGGTTTTTGTGGTTAATCTCATAGACCTGTGCCAAAAATGGAAACACAAAATTTTCATTCTGTTATTAATTTCACTCACTGTCCCCTGTCTCAGCCATCTGATATCTGTCGCAGTGTAGAGGAAAGTTGTTCGATCACTTGTAATCCCAGCATGAGAGTGCCAGGTGGAAGCAACAGTTGCCGAAAGTGACATTAGTGACTGATTATGTCATCCAAGCAGTCTGAAACAGTACCAACCCATCATCTGTCATTAGCTTTCTATGAGAAGTAAACAGGACAGTTTAAAAACCAATCAAGCAGAGCTGGAGTAGGTATTTGGCTAATCATTCTCTTCCTTCCCGTAGATTAATGTGAGATTCTAGACAGCAGGATACAATTAGCATTTATTAGTCGGAAATACAGAAATCAAGCCCCTTAATTTCCTCCGCATCTTGTCGTGTGGTCCACATCTTGTACGGTGTTGCTGTGATCAAATGTACCTTATCAGACAAACTGTTGAGATGAGTGGAAGACTGGTCTGAAGAACTCATGATTGTGCAGTTGCACAATATGCCCAAAGACACAGTGGTCCCATGTTATCTTCCTGCATAAAATAAAGTTGACAATATGCCAGTATATTTTTTTGTATCCTCACGACAGAAACAGTTTTTTCAACACACAGCTTCAAAATAGCAGGGTGATATCTCTAGCAAACTACAAGTAGAAGATAAGTAAGTCGAAGATAGCTATATAATACAAATTACATATGTAAAATCAATTCCAATCAAATGCTGCGTCAGGGTCTCCAAGCATTGTTGATGGGGAAAATATACAATCATTTACATTCTGGCTGCATTACAGCCACCTTTCAGATGAGGTGTGAAACAAAAACTTTGTCTTCTTTTCTCGGCCATAGCACTATTCAGGGAACAGGAGTTTATCCAGTGCCTTAGCTATCATTTATCCCTCAACCAGTACCTTAAATTACATTATCCGGTCATTGCTCTTTATTCATTCAAGGGATATGAGCATTGCTGGCTAAGCCAACATTTATTGTTCTTGAGAAAGGGCTGCTAAGCTGCCTTCTTGAACGTGATGTGGGATTTTCAAATAAACTGTTGACTACAACCTGGTTTCTTGTGATTTCTGGCCTTCTTGAACCACTGTGGTCCTTGGATGTAGGTACACCCAAAGTGCTGTTGGAAAAGAGTGGCCAGATTTTGATGCAGACGGTGAAGTAGTGACAGTATCTTTCAAAGTCAGGAGGGGTGTGGTTTTGAGAGGAATTTTCAGGTGGTGGCATTCCAATGCAGCTGCTTCCCTTGTCCTTCTCGGTGGGAAAGGCAGTGAGTTTGTAAGGTGCTATTGGAGGAGCCTTGGTGAGTTGAGTAGCAGATCTAGTATATGATGCTTGCTCCTGCCACTACGTCAATGGTGAAATAAGTCAATGGAGGGTGGTGGATAGCATGTCAGTCAAGTGGGTTGCTTTGTCATAGAGTCGTACAGCACGGAAACAGACCCTTCAATCCAACCAGTTCATACCTACCTGGAGTGTTTGATCGCCCCATCTGAGTAGATGGAAGTTATTCTATCAGTTGGGCCTTGTAGATGGTGAACAGGCTCTGGTGGTTAGGAGGTGAATTACTTGCTGTAGAATTCCTAGTCTCTAACCTGCTCTTTTAGTCACTGTGTTTATATGGCTCGTCAGTTTCTGGTCAGTAGTAAACCCTAGGATGTTGATGCTGGGGGTTCAGTGCTGGTAATGCCACAAAAATGTCAAGGGGCAAGGTTAGCTTCTCTCCTGTTGGAGGTAGTCGTTGCTGACACTTGTGTGGCATGCATGTTATTTGCCACATGTCAGGCCCTAGCCATTGTTCATGTCTGTTCCATATGGATACAAGCTGCTTCGCTGTCTGAGGAGTCGTGATTGGTGCTGAACATTGTGCAATCATTAGCGAACATCCCCACTTCTCGTTGTATGATTTAAAGAGAAGGTCACAATGAAGTAACTGAAGATGGTAGGGCCTAAGACACAACTGTGAGAGCCTGTAGAACTCTTGCAGAGATGTCTTGTGACTGCGATTGATGACCACCAACCACAGCTATCGTGCTAGGTATGACTAGTTTAAAAAAGAGGTTCCGTGATTTCCTGTGTTGAATAAATTCCATTAAACCTTTTCTCCTTGTTCCTTGCAGCATGAAATTTCATTTTAAAATCCTGGAAACTCCCAGCTGGTCTTAAAGGGCTGGTGAATTTATGTCAAATGAAGTTAAAATATACCAAAACTGAAATGTAAATAATAATTATAATGTTATTTTACAGAAATGCTGGTCAAGAAAAGCTCCTGTGCTGTTTTGGAAATGGATCTAGAAACTGTATTGGCATTGATTTGAACAACATGATATTGAAGGTATTTAAATTATACGAAGCAGTAGTGAAAGAGACTAATACATGAGCTTTCCTGCATTAAACTGACCCATCACCTGTTGCTGATTCTAATTTCATTCAAGTTTCTTAAGAATTGGTTCATTTGATAGCATTTGTGGAGCTGGGTCAGTGGAATTTGTTTCATGTGCTATCTATAGAATTCCATGTCTCAATTTAGGCTGTCGTCCCAGTCATGTTGTGAGAGTGTATTTCATTGTTTATTCAGTAAACCCGATGAAGAAATCGGACAATGATTCTCATTGTCCGCTCTGGGTATAGGGAGTTTTCTGGTATCTAGCTAACATTTCACCCTCAAGTACCCTCAAATACCGTCAAAGGATTTAAGGTTACAGGGAAAAAGGGAGGAGAATGAGGTTGAGAAACATATCGGTCACGATCGATTGGCGGACTCAATGGACTGAATGGCCTAATTTTGCTGCTACACCTTATGGTCTTAAGCAATCCAACCCAAAGAAAAATACCAATATATTCATTTAAATAACGCCTGTGCAGCCCTGCTTTGCGTAACACAACTATCACACGTTTGCTTAGCATATCACTACTCCAAAAGTAACTTGGAACATTTGGGTGATGTGAGGAATGCCAGTATTTGGTTTGCTCTGAAGTTTGCCAAAATACAGTTATTCTATTTACTATTTTAGCTAAGTGCCAACCAAGATCATTTATTTAAATACATAAGATAGCAAGATTGTTCCTCCCAATGATTTGATGGAAAGTTGCTGGCATTAAAAATGTTGACTTTTTTTTTAATCCATGATTCAGTATTCTTTGACAAATCTTTGTAATGTAAAACTTATTTGCAAATCTCAACAAGGTCAACACCATGTAAAGTTTATGTTTAAAATGATCAGTTGTTTATATCAACAGTTGAAGCAATAACTTATTCGTTGGTATTAATGTCTCTTTCAAAATTATTGGTTATAAACTGAGAAGTGTTCTATTTATTTCAGGCAGAAACATCTGTGTTTACTCACCAGTTCTCACCTTAAGGCACACTATCATAAAAAGGTCTAATTGTGACAGACTTCACTTCCATTTGTTCTACAATTTGGAATGCAGATTTAGTTTCTGCAAACACTGTCTCTGGATTTCCTCATGGTTCTAGTTTTTCAACCTTTGTCAGGTTTCACTGAGCTTTTTCAAACAGGAAAAAATACTCATGATTGCGAAAACTGACCTCTTGAAAACTCTGATATTTTAACTGTCTCTGTGTCTGTCTTTAAAGTGTATCTTGAAAAGAAACTTATAAATTCTGAAGCCACTAAAGTTGTTGCCAGTATAATTTTAAACTAATGATGGACAAAACTACATTTGAAATTTTCTTGAGGAAAATTAAAGTGCTATATAAGTAAAGATGACTGAAAAGTAGAATTCTGTTCAGCAGTAATTCAAGGCCAATTGGACCAGCCATAAAAATATTGTAGCTACAGACCAAAGACCAGCAATTGCGCATTAAATAACTCGCCTCCTTGGTGGGTAAGGTGTAGAAAAGGAGAACATCAGGAAAAGACACATTCCTAGGTATTAGGGACTGAAACCCAAGAGACTATTGAACAAAGATAAAAGATAATGTGATCAAGCAAGGGTACCACAGACCAGGGATACATAGCAATGGAAATAACGCATTCAGCCCCTAATGCATAATGTGTTATTTAATAGATCATAGCTAATTTGACAGTGCAAGAATCAGTGGCTCAGTGGTTAGCCCTGCTGCCTCACAGCCCCAAAGACCTGGGTTCAATTCCACCCCCGGGCGACTCTCTGTGTGGAGTCTGCACATTCTCCCCGTGTCTGTGAGAGTTTCCTCTGGGTTTAAAAAGATTCCTAATTTGATTTATACTTTCCATTATAGCTGTCACTGTGTATAGTAGACAGAGTATGTCCACATAACCATACAATAAGAAGTGAGAGCACTGTTTTAAGAAATAGATTGTCCATGGTTCTGTTCAGAGTGATAATTGTGACTCCTTATTTGGCCTTGATGACTTTCTCTACAAGCAACAAAGCATAGAATCCCTAAAGTATGGAAGCAGGCCATTCGGTCCATTGAGCCCACACTGACCCTTCAAAGAGCATTCCACCCAGACCCACCCACCTACCTTATCCCTGTAACCCTCCATTTCCCATAGCTAATCCACACATCCCTTGACACTAGGGGCAACTAAGCGTGGCCAATCCACCTAAACCAGAACATCCAGAGGAAACCCGACAGACACGGGGAGAATGTGTAGACTCCACATAGACAGTCACCCGAGGGTGGAATTGAACCCAGGTCCCTGGTGCTGTGAGACGGCAGTGCTAACTACTGAGCCACTAATTGTTTCACTGTAAAATTAGCCACGATCTATTAAATAACAGAACAGGCATTAGGGGCTGAATGTGTTATTCCTGTTCCTATATATCACTGATCTGCAGTGTCCTTGCCTGATCACTTCACATTATCTCTTATCTTTGTTCAATACTCTTTTGGGTTTCAGTCCCTAATACCCAAGGTGTGTCTTTCCTGATGCTGTCCTTTTCTACACCTAACTCACCTTCCTGGTTGGTAATTTAATGCAGAATTCCTAGTCCTTGATCTGTAGCTACAATATTTGTGTGGCTGGTCCAGTCAGTTTTTCAGTCATTTATAATACACGAGACATTAGTGTAAGATTCAACAGTGGCAATGCCAGTGAACGTATTGGAGATGGCCATTGCCTGGTGCTTGTGGTAAAAGTGTTACTTGCCACTTATCAGACCAAACCTGGATATTGTCAAGGTCTTACTACACATGGATACTGACTGCTTCAATATCTGCGGTATCTTGAACGGTGTTGAACATTGTGCAGTCATCAGCAAACACCCCCACTTTTGACGTTATGACCGAGGGAAGCTCATTGATGTAGCAGCTGAATATAGTTGGGGCTATGATGCCATTCTGAGCTATTCCTACATTTGATGTCTTGGGGTTGAGATGTACTGCCACCAACAACCATAACCTTTGTCTTAGGTATGACTTTATCCAATGGAGAGTTTTCCTCCTGATTCCCATTGACTCCAGTTTTACTTGGACTCCTTGATGTCATATTTTGTCAAATGTTGCATTGTTTTCAAGGGCAGGCAATCTTGCCTGACCTCGGGAATTCAGTGTTGTCTTTGGACCAAGGCTGCAATGAGACCGAATATGGAATGTTGCCGGTGTAGCCAAAACTGAGTGTCAATGAGCAGATTAATCCTATACAAGTGCCACTTGATAGCACTGTTGATGACCTAATCCATCACTTTGCTGATGATTGAGAATATATTAATAGCGTGGTAAATGGCCAGGTTGGACTTGTCCTGCCTTTTGTGCACAGGACATACTGAGGCAACTTTGCACATATTTGGGGAGATGCCAGTGTTGTCACTATACGGCCTGGAGGAAGGTTTGCTATGGAGTTCTCCTGGTGTTGATATTTAGACCCTTGCCTCTTTTTAAAATGATCTAGATCTTGGTGCACAGGGACCAATTTCAAAGTGCAGTTCGCACAAAATTGGGAAGAATTGTAAACTGTGAGGAAGATAGTGTAGAACTGCAAAAAGACTGACAAGTTGGCAGAGTTGGCTGATAGTTAGCAGATGAAGTTCAGTGTGAAGAAGTGTAAAGTGATACACCTTTGTACAAAGAACATGTACACCATTTCAAATAGTACCCTTTATATGTACATAATTCATTAAAGTTGTAGACAGGCTAGCGAGAGCTGTTAATAAAGCATGCAGTAATGTAGACTTCATAGACAGTGGCATAGAGTCAAGTGCAGGGAGGTTATGATGAACTTTATAAACACTGGTAAGGTCTCCCCTGCATTGTTGTGTACAGTTCTGGGTGCCACACTGTGGGAAAGATGTGAATGCATTGGAGAGAGTGCAGTGGGGTTTATGAAAATGGTTCCGTGGATGAGAAACGCAAGTTATGAGGAATGATTGGAAGAATTGAAAATGTTTTCCATCCAGAGGACAAGTTTTCAAATCATGACGGATATTGTCAGAGAGGATAGGAAGAAACTGTTCCCACTCTTAATGGAGATTGGTATTCAGTTTAAAATGCTCAGACAGCCAGCGTAGACATGATAGACCAAATGGCTTCCTGCACCACAACAATTCTGTGATTCACTGCCTTTAGCTGTTTCTTGATATCACGTGGAGTGAATCAAATTGGTTGAAGACTGGCACCTATGATACTGGGGACTTCATGAGATAGCTAAGATGAATTATCCACTTGGCGCTTCTGGCTGAAGATGGACAGTAAACATTTTAACCTGTCTTTTGCACTGCTCTGCTGGGTTACCCCATGATTGAGGATAGCAATGCTTGTAGAGCCTCCACATTCCTGTTGGTTGAAAGATCTTTAAGATCTGTATCTAGTCTTTTAGTACTTCTTTGCACATTCCAATCCTATGTAGCGTTTTCCCGGTATCGTTGAATTTCTATATCTGACGTGCTACTGGGGTCTAGTCTTGCAAAGGATCTTGTCTGTAAGATAAATAAACAAATCATGTGCTGACTAAGACTGTATATAAGGATTTGGGAATTCAATACTGGTCCTTGTTGTTCCCTTTAAGCTGCCGGCTGCTCGGGGATCCACAAGTGCCAATTGGTGTGCGGGCACATCAACTTCCAGTTCGGGAAGTTGCTGTTGTACACCGACTTTGGAGTTCTCTGCAAAATAAAAATTAGAGGGAAAATGCTGGTCCTGTAGAACAAGACAGAAATCATGACACACAAATTCAGTCCAATCATTCAGGTGTTTAGATTTCATTCCCCACATGAACAGTTGGCCCAAACCGATGGTCAGTGTTTACTGAAGGTGATGAGAGTCCACCCACAACCCTGTTTCATTTCTTTCTGGGAACCCTTTCGGAATAGAGTGCTATTTCTCTTTCCTAACATTCTTACCTTCCTTTTCTTCCTTTTAAAATGCTTAAAACTTGCTTTTTTTAAATT